CCAGCTACTCAGGAGGCTGAGGCAAGAGAATCACCTAAGCCCAGGAATTGGAGGTTGCTGTGAGCTGTGTGACACCAAGGTACCCTACTGAGGGTGATAAAGTGAGACTGTCTCTACCAAAAAAAAAAAAAAGTGAAAGCTGACATAGCAAAATTCCTCTATTTTTAAGCCACATGAGTAAAACTACTTTTCTTAAAATAATCTGTGCAGAAAAACAAAGCTCCTCACCAGCACAAACACATAAATTTGTTGCGAACAAGTAACACAGCCAGTCATACCATTCACAGTAATCTCCAGCTGACTGTTCCTTATGGCTGAACTGAAGAACTAAGTTATCCTTCAGAAATGAACAAAAGTGAGCTCTTAGGGAATCACAAGTGCTTGGGGGAAGAGGAGTTACTTTTGTATGTTGATGACCACATTTTAGAAAGATGCACAGGTGCGTACATGTAAAAAGATCCTGATCTGCTTTCCCAAGTCAGACTTGGGCTGGCAGCCAGGAGAAAACCTGAAGAAATCAGTTTGTGTGCCAGGAGCTGCATAACATGCAGAATGCTCATGTGGGCTGAAGAAAGCTGCAAGGTCTGGAGCACACTAAGTCTTGGGCAGAAACAATTTCACTCTGTTTTGTTTACACCTGTGTTCCTAAATATCTCCAAAAGTGTTGAGAACTCCATCTTGTAAGGGAGGAAGAATATTACTAATCCCTTAGGAGCAGTGGGCACTTCATGTCCTTCTCGGGCTGTGAATCCTCAGGCTAGCTATGAGAATGCAGACAGGACATTTTCCCTGCCCTTGAGGGACTTATATTCTACCGAGGAGTGAAAAGGTGGGGAAAGTAGGGTTTATTTTTAAACAGTGTTTTTGTTATATTTTCAAATGATATGCTCAGCCTATTTTATTTTAACTTCCAAACAGGATTTCAGGTTGACATATTTCTAAATTTAAAGTGATCGTGCTATTTGTAATCTGAAAATAAATATAATGCATTATTTTGTCTGTTATGTCAAGGCACTTTGGTCATACTGCAGTGTATTAACAAGTTATCCTGTATGTCCTGGCCTTTTGCTGCCCATTAGTTAGGAGATAGCACAGATCTCTGAAATCATATGTAACGGTGTAAGGTGACATTTACCAGGTGGTGTCTGCTGATTGGTTGTGCCACACCGCAAAGTTTGAGAATCACAGAACAGCACTGCTGCTGGAGGACGGTCTTGTCATGGATGCTTACACATAACCCTTAATGAGCCCCATTTAGTATTAGACAAAAAGAGGACTCACAAGTCCTAATTTTATACCCATTTACACATACAATCTGATGAGTTTTTTGTTTTTGACACCGAGTCTCATTTCTTGCCCCCACTAGAGTGCCATTGCTTCATAGCTCACAGCAACCTCAAACTCTTGGGTTTATACCCATTTTATATGTGCAATCTGATGAGTTTTTTGTTTTTGAGACCGAGTCTCATTTCTTGCTCCCGGTAGAATACTATGGCTTCATAGCTCACAGCAACCTCAAACTCTTGGGGTTGAGCAATCCTCCTGCCTCAGCCTCCCAAGTAGCTGGGACTACAGGCACCTGCCACAATGCCCAACTAGTTTTTTTTTTTGGAGATGGCGGTCTTGCTCTTGCTCAAAATGGTCTCAGACTCGTGAGCTCAAGGGATCCACCTGCCTCAGCCTCCCAAGTGCTGGGATTACAGGCATGAGCCACCACATCCAGCCTTCAATTTGATGAGTTTTGAAAGTACATGTGTTTAACCATCACCATAATCAAGATATAGAGCACTTCCTTAATCCGCACAAGTTCCTTTATACCTCTTCATAATCACAGCCCTCTGCCCCTCCACCCCCCGCCCTCACCGTCAGGCAACCATAGATCTACTTCCTACCATAAGGTCAGATTTGCATTGTCTAGACTGTCACATAAATGTAACCGTGCAGTATGTAACCTTTGGAGTCTGGCTTCTTCTTTAGCATAATGCTTTTTGGATTTGTCCATGTGGCTACACCTCTCAGAAGTCGGTTAGTAAGTACTATTCTGTTGTATAGATGTACCTCAGCTTGTTTATCTATTCACCAGTTGGTAGGTACTTGAATTGTTTTCAGTTCGGAGCTATTATGAATGAGGCTGCTGTGAACATTCAGGTACAAAGAAATAACACTGGAATTCTAGGAAATTCAACAGAACAGTCTGGAGGGTAACAAACAAACTGCCTCTCTGGGGGAGGAGGTGTCCAGTGGTTGAGACAAGTAGAGAAGCAAGCTTTTTTTTGTTTTGTGAAATAAAGCAACTATAGCCAAAACCCTAAAAACTGCCTGTACTGAGCAGGTAGAGGACTGCTGATCGGGCGTCTTTACTGCCTGGGAAAATGGATTGCAACATCATTGGCAAGATGGAATAATATGCGCACTTAGTTGTTTTATTTTGACAGGGACTGAAATTGAGCCAAGAGACTCAAACCTATTTTCCTGGTCCCTTCTTCAGGATATGTTTGAAGGCCTGTCCAGGCAGTAGAGACAAAGAGCTCTATATCAGAGTCCAACAGACTTTACTGGTTGTGGGGCCTTGGCCAGAGGGAGGTCACCTTGGTAAATGGACATAAAAAGACCTACCTATCTCAGGGGCAGTATACACTGAGTATCTGTATAAAACATTTAACAAGGGTCTGGTACATAAAGAATACAAAAGTTTCATTAGAAAGTCAGAATATTTTAATGTGTTTTTAAAGTCACTCTGCAAATTCTTTATATAGCCATTGAAGAATCAAATTGATCTGAATCTGGTTAGAGTTTTAGCAACGTAGCACCTCAGTCACAAAAGCTCCAAGTGGCTGCACCACTCTGGGTAACTGTCTAATCCCAAAGTTCCCACCGGCTTCTCACACCAGAGGGTGCCCCTTAGCAGTGTGTGAGCTGAGTCAGATTCGTGAGCGCCTCACCTCCTGAGAGCTGGGGGTGGGGTGGAGTGGGTGGGGGTATGTGACATGGTGCCCCCTGAACCTCAGTGTCCTCTAAAAGGGGCCCCTGGCGGAGCGGAAGGAGCATGGGCTGGAAGGGTAGGGCTTGGGTTTGAATTCTGACGTTATTACCCTCCCAGCCCACTTCGTTTCTCTTTCTGGTCCCAACTTCTTTGCTCATCTCTCGTGTGGGGTAACAGCATTACCTCACCAGGCTGAAGCAGGATTACACCGTGTTACAGTGCCAGGACTGTCTCAACAAAAGCTTGTTGACGTTGTGTAATTTCACGCTGTTTTTTACCCTATTTCCTATTTTCCATCTCCAAAGTCCACTGGCTGGCTGTAACTCAAATGAAATGGAGCTACTATCAAGAGTGATTGGGGAATCTCCAGTAGACAGTCGATATTGTCCTCAATATTCCCCTTCCAGAAACGGTGGGGCTTTTTTTTTTGGTCTGGCCAAGACTCAAACTAGCGCCTGGGTTTTAAGCGTGAGCAGAGCCACAGGACTGGGCCTAGTTTCTGCCGGGTGGGTTGCCCGGGGTACGCTTCCCTCCCGGGAGCCCGGGCGGGCCCGCCTCTCCGCTCCCTCCCTCCCTCCCTTTCCTGAGCCCACCCCCAGTCCCCCCACCTACCCAGTCCCAGCGCGGATGAACCCAGCGCGCCGCCGCGCCCTTTGGCGGCTTTGCTTTTATTGATTTGTTCTGCGCTCTCTCCCGGCTTCCGGCGCGGACGCCAGGTGCCAGCCGTTGTGCTCCAGGCTATGTGAGAAGCGTGGGTTTGCCCCTTTCCGGCACCCGGGCACGTCGTCCGCAGGCTGCCCGGCCCCCTCCCTGGGGTGGGGCGGCCCGGGGGAGCCCGCGCGCTTCCGTTCGTCCGCGCCACCTCGACCCGAAGGAAGGTGCGCGGAGGTGTCGCCCCTCCACCTTCCCAGCCGCCCCCTCGCGCTCCCGGAGGGGAAATGCCTCTCCCGCGAGCCCAGGGACTCGGCCCCAGTCCCGGGGGACCTGCGGGCGTTTGAATGTTCGCGCGCTTTTCCCATTGGAGCTCGGGCGAAGGGCGGGGCCCAGGGGCGGGGCCCAGGTGTGTTGGGGTTTACCAGGGCTGGGTATTGAACCCAGGTGGCTTCTAAACGTTCTCGAAGAGAAGCCTGCTTGTACTGGTTTTCCTCGTTCTCCTTTCCTCCTACAAAAAGAAAAGGAGGTGTTTTTAAAAAATTCCGCCTTAAGATACTTTAGTGTGCTTACTGCTGTTTGCGGTCACGTCTAGCTGTTTTGCAATTGCATCTTTATTGAGGAAGGAGGTAGAAAGGAAAAAGGTAGGAGAACTGGTTACTTGGACCTTTCCAATTTTCCTTAAAAAAACTTAGTAAAAAGAAATGTTAGTTTTAGTGCCACAAAACGTACGTGTTTAAGAAAAATTTTAAACTTAAAATTAGAGTTGATTGGAATGAATGTAGCAAAGAAACAAAAGAGTTTCTCATTTTCAATGAGAAACTCTATCATCATTTTGGCTTGTAGTTTTGTATTATATACTAAATGGGAGAGACCAGATTCTCATATCTTCCCTCCCCATCCCCTTTTCTTTTTCAGTCCAGAGCACAACCAGCGGACGAGAACAGAAGGAAGCCAGTTTTGGGGAAACTTGGCACTCTATTCGCAACAGGAAGGAGAAGGAACATCAGGAATGGTCTAGAGAGTCCCACCAGCTCGATTGCTAAACCAGTCTCCCCCAAAGATGTAACCTCTTCTAAACTCCCTGAAAGAGACAGCGAGAAGAGTAAATCTCAGAGCAGCCAAACAAAGCAAACGGACTCGAGCGAGGAGGGCGCCCCCCTGCAGAGGCCCCCTGAGGCAGAAGGCGAGCCCTCTGAGAGCTGCGTCCCCGCAGCCCCCCCTGACGCCGACCTGTCACCTTGCTCTAGCAGCAGTGCAGCGGTTACAGCTGTGCAGCAGTGCCATGAAAGTGATTCACCCCAATTAGAACCTCTGGAGGCAGAGGGAGAGACTTTCCCAGATGCCACCGCCGGTGCCAAGCAGCTGCATTCCTCACCCGGGAATTCCTCCAGGCAAGAGTTAGAGACGCCCTCCCGCAGTCCGAGGGAGGACGCTTCACTCAGCGCTGCCTGCGAACAGGAGACTTCTTGGGGTGCAAGGGGTGTGTCGGGGTTGCCCACCCGGGAGCGGCAGGCAGGAGGACTAGGCGAAGCCCTTGACGGAGTCCCCAGCGTGTGTGCCGAGGGAGGTTCTCTGGAGCTCTTAGACGGGCGCAGCCAGCCCCCCAAGGACTCATCTGCTCTGCCAGGTGACCCTTCAAACAAGGGGGCTGAGAACAGGGCCGGTTCCAGGCAGGCCAGCGGCACAGCCCAGCCCAGAGGGAGCGATCCCCGGGCGGGCGAACGCGCGCATCCCTCCACGGTGTTGACTTTGGACATATACTTGAGTAAGACTGAACTGGAGCCGGTGGAAGAGCCGGTCTTGATTACCGACAGGGCAGAAGATTGCGGAGACTCGGACGACATGGAGAAGAGGTCGAGCGGGCGCAGGTCCGGGAGGCGGAGGAAGTCGCAGAAATCCACCGACTCCCCGGGTGCAGACGCCGAGCTGCCCGAGAGCGCGGCGAGGGACGACGCGGTGTTTGACTACGAGGTGGCGCCAAACGCGGCCGCCGACAGCCTCTCGGCGGAAAAGAAAGTGAAATCTCCGCCAGCGGCCCCGGACGGGGGCGTTGCCTCCGCGGGGAGCCCAGAGTCCAAGCCCAGCCCCAGCCCCAAAGGGCAACTCCGAGGGGAGTCGGAGCGGAGCAAACAGCCGCTCCCGGCCTCGTCCCCCACCAAGAAAAAGGGCAGGAGCCGCGCCCCCGAGGCCGTGCCCGCCCCGCCCGCCAGCGGCCCGCGGGCTCCCAGCAAGGAGTCCCCACCCAAGAGGGCGCCCGACTCCGGCCCCGGCCCGGCCGCCAAAAGCGCGGCGGCCGACAGCGGGGAGGAGGCGGCGCGGGTCGTGCCTCGCGAGCTCACGGTCAGGAGCAGCTCGCTGCTGCCCGAGATAAAGCCTGAGCACAAGAGGGGCCCGCTGCCCAACCATTTCGACGGCCGGGCAGAGGGAGGTCGAAGCAGAGAGCTGGGCAGATCGGCCGGACCTGCCGACGCCGACGGCTTGAAGCCCAGGAACCATTTCGGTGCCGGCAGGTCGACTGTGACCACGAAAGTGACCCTGTAAGTATGCGGAATGGGTCCGGGCGGAGTTACGCGTCCGCAGACGTGCTGGGGCCCGCTCCTAGCGGCTGGGGTCTTCCCATTTGTGGAAGAGATGTCTCTGCTCATAATTTCCCAACGGTTAAACTTAATAAAGTGAGGGACCAGTTTACACTGTTAAGGTTTAAGAAGATGACACACGTGGTTGCCTCTTCAGTTAATTCCTATTTTAATATCTGATTTAAATAAAAATAGGATATCCCTTGAGGTTCAGGGTTTACAAACATGATATAGATAAGACTGGATGGTTTTAAATGAATTCAGAATGTACGTGGGTGGTCCAGAGTAGGATGTTCTTAAACGCATATGCAGTGAATTTCAAAACGTGGAACAGACACTAGTGTGTATAAGTTCTGTATGACCCAGTAGCTTTGTTGTGTGTGAGTTTAAGAGACTGCACTGAACCTTTTATGGAACTTAGTGCATTACTGGCCTAAAGGTTTTAAAAAGTCCCTGATACTCCCCTTTATAATGTTAGGGAATCTGTGAAGTGTTTGCTCCCAGATTGAAAAGTAGTTTTAAGTTATTGAATTGGAGAAAGACTAGTGTTCTTACTGGAAGATTATTTGCTAAATGAAAGCACACAACAGGCGGCGGCCTTAGCTTGGTGGGTAGGGAGCCAGCCACATACACTGAGGGTGGCGGACCTGGCCTGGGCCAGCTAAAAAACAACAATGACAACTGCAACAACAACAACAAAAGCTGGGCCTTGTGGCGGCCCCTATAATCCCAGCTACTTGGGAGGCTGAGGCAAGAGAGTAATTGGTTAAGCCCAAGAGTTTGAGGTTGCTGTGAGCTGTAACACCACACACGACAGAGGGTGACATAGTGAGACTTTGTCTCAAAAAAAAAAAAGCACACAACAAATTGACTACTTGTCACTATGTTTATTGATTTTACAAACATTTATTGAGTACGTCCTGTACATGGTACTGTGGTAGGTGCTTGGGGAGAGGGCACTATAACTACGATTCATTTGTTGCCCTTGAAAATTTTATGGCCTCTTCTGTCACACAAGAGGCACACAAATCAGGCCAAGTGGAGTGTCTCACACCTGTAATCCTAGCACTCTGGGAGGTTGAGGCAGGTGGATGGCTTGAGCTCAGGAGTTCAAGACCAGCCTGAGTGAGAGCAAGACCCCATCTCTACTAAAAATAGAAAAACCAGCCCTGCATTGTGGCTGGCGCCAGAAGTCCCAGCTCCTCAGGAGGCTGAGGCAGGATTGCTTGAGCTCAGGAGTTTGAGGTTGCTGTGAGCTAGACTGACACCAAGGCATTCTATTATAGCCTGGGGCAATAGAGTGAGATTTTTGTCTCCAAAAAAAAAAAAAAAAAAACCACTCAAATCAAATAACAATATGTGGTGATTTCTAATCAAACTGCCAAATACATGTTACTATCTGTAAAGGGGCCAGGGAAGTGGTAGAGGGGAAGAAATCACCATCCTTTGGAAGAACTGGGATAAGGGCCCAGATGATAAATGAGATTTGTGTGGGTGGACAGGATAGGGAGGGCGCTCCATAAAACTGTTAAGATCTTCCCTTCCCACACTCCTTCCTGCTCCTCATTCACCAGTCAGCATAGGTGAAAAATGATAAGCTTTGCCTACATTCACACACGTGAGTTTAACAAATGTTAAAAGAGCTGGTATTTTCACATTATCATTCTTGACCAGAGTGGTGTCATTCTATTTGATTTCTTGGGCAAGTAAGCTTTAGAGTAGGAGTTCTGTTTGGTAAATTCTTGGGAGGAAAACGTGCTTAATGAATAACTCGAGCTACCTTGCCAGGTGCCAACCTGGAGACCTTTGATATAGTCAGCTGTTTATTCTGTAACAGTGTCGTAGAAATAACCTGAGTGCATGATGCTCACTATTTGTAGAAGGCCAGAGTGACTGAACAGTGAAACCTCCAAAGTGTGAGGCTTAGAGAAGCGTTAATGTGTATGGGATCTAGGAGGCTTCTCCTGCCTTCACTGAAACCTGTGAAGTGTGAGGCTTAGAGACCCGTGAGCCTTAGAGAGTCATTAGAGTCATTAGAGGCATTGTTGAGTACCGGATCTAGGAGGCTTCTCTTGCCTTCCAATCAGAAGATAGCAGTAGAAAAACCAGACTCTACACTGTTCAGGAGTAAAGAGGGAAGATGTTCTTACCACAAAACTCTTCTTCAAGTGCTGTTTCCTGGAGTAGAACTTTCTCCAGTCTCTTCCTCAGTTCTGATTATTTTCTACCTAAAAATTTTCTTCACTAGACTCAGTTTATTTAATTTTGTTTTGCACATGGCAAGTTGGGAAATTATTTAAATGGAAAACTAATAATTCTTTTTAGTCCTTTGGTCTATTTCTGTTTGACAGTTTTTTTCAGACTCTTTAATTCTTCCTATGACTGGGTGGCAAGTAAAGATGTTAATCAGATTACTTTTTAAAACCATTTTCAACTGTAGAGTTAGAAAAACTTTCATATTTCCTAAAAGATGATGACCGTGAAGCAGCATGTTTATCTGTTAGAAAAGTTCTTTCAAATTCTCTACCAAGTGCTGAATGTTAAAATTCTTAAAATGGTAGAATAAGGATAATCTTCCTCTTATAATTATGGCTTTTTAGACTCCAGATTATTTTCCCCTCTCTCCTTATACTGAGGCATTACAACATGAATTACAGGAGCCTCCCTTTTAATCAGTCTGAACTAGGTTAATTGTAGTGACTCTTGGTAGCAGAACTTAATAACACAGAAAGTTTGGTTGTAAAATGTATTTTGATCTTAGTGTAAATCTTTAATGTGCAGATGTGTGTTTCCTGCCCTTCAGGTAGCTTGTTGGCTAACCTGGAGAGTTTGTCATTTATATCATAAAATACACTTTGATGTTTGAATTGAATACTATTCCTTGAGCTGATAAGTGAGAATTTTTAAAAGTATATTCTCTGGTATGAGACCATTCCTCATTAATTGATAGTATATGAGGGCTCTTTAGATAATCATCTCACTATTTCTATAATTTAATCTTTAAGGAAATGATTATAGGTTCATTTAATTAATTTATTTATTTTTGGAGACAGAGTCTCATTATGTCACCCTTAATAGAGTGCTGTGGCATCACAGCAACCTCAAACTCTTGGGCTTAAGCGATTCTCTTGCCTCAGCCTCCCAAGTAGCTGAGACTGAGGTCCCTGCCACAAGGCCCGGCTATTTTCTTGCTGCAGTTGTCATTGTTGTTTAGCTGGCCCGGGCTGTGTTCGAACCCACCAGCCTTGGTGCATGTGGCTGGCGCCATAACCACTGTGCTATGGGCGCCAAGCCAGTTCATTTTCTTTTTAAATTTAAGATATGGGCCTGTAATAAGGGAGCCCAGAGATCTTATGGAGATGTTAGAGAAAGCAATGCCTAGAAATTTATGAGCATATATCAAATTTATCAAGTATTTAAATGAGACTTTAAAAGATGAAAATAGGCTGAGCATGGTGGCTCACACCTCTAATCCTAGCACTGTGAGGGGCTGAGGCTGGAAGATTGCTTGGAGCCAAGAGTTTGAGACCAGGCTAAGCAAGAGTAGACCCCCATCTATACAAAAAAATAGGAAAATTAGCTGGGTATGGAGTACATGCCTACAGTCCACACCACTTAGAGGGCTGAGGCAGGAGGAGTTTGAGATTGCAGTGAGCTGTGATGATGCCACCGTATGCTAGCCCTGGTGACAGGGAGCCACTATTACAAATAAATAATGAAAGATGAAAATATAAATTCTTAGTGCTGCTTTTGGGAAGGACTTGATGGTAACTAGCCCAGTCTTCCCATTTTATCCACATGGTATCTCTCACCTGAGGTCACACTACCTGTCCCTTCCAGAGGCTCTTTAGGCCCAGCCTTCTTGAAGGCTGAATCCATGCAGGAGGTAGCATCAGATATCAATGCTTCTCTACTTTTGTGGTCTTATTATCAAGGTGGCCTCTAGCATCTGATTACTTTCTTACAGATCTCATAATAATTTGTTGACACTTTAAATCAACCATTCTCAACTTATGGGTCGCGACCCCTTTGTAACAATGAAAATACATCCTGCATATCAGATGTTTACATTACGATTCATAACAGTAGCAAAATTACAGTTATGAAGTAGCAACAAAAATAATTTTATTCTTGGGAGTCACCACAACATGAGGAACTGTATTAAAGGGTTGCGCCTTTAGGCGGCCTGAGGAAGGTTGAGAACCACTGCTTTAAATGATAAAGATGGAACAAACCAGAGGAGCTCATTCAGGCAAGTCTAGTCTGGCCCTTTCTGGGGAAGCAGAATTGTATAGTGGTCAGGAGGATGGCCCCTGCAGCCAGAGCACCTGGCTTCAAATCATGGCCCTGTCACTCACTAGCTGTGTGACCGCAGGCCAGTTACTTCTCTAAGCCTCAGCTTCCTCATCTTAAAATAGAACATATGAAGTTGTACATTAAGTAAACCATATGAAGCATTGCTCAAATACTTGGCAATCAGTGACTGTTGGTGGTTATTATCTCTCCCATTTTACAAACTACTAGACCAGTAGTTTATTTATTTATTTTTTTGCAGTTTTTGACCGGTGCTGGGTTTGAACCCGCCACCTCTGGCATACTCCTTTGAGCCACAGGCACCGCCCACAGACCAGTGGTTTAGACTTTTTTTTTTTTTATTAAACTTTGGAACTCTTCCTTCTGGCAGAGCTTTTATGTAGGCAATATATAAAACAGATAAATGGGAGTGATGATTGTGGTTGAAAGGAAGGTGGTCAGTCCCATCCCTCAGTCCTTTGACTGTAAGTTGTGGGGGGAAAAAAACAACTCTGTTCTAAACCATGTACTTTTTTTTATAGGTACAGAAGGTAGAGTCCAGAGGGGTAAAGTAACTTGACCAAGTTCACACAGATAATTAACATGAAAGGCAGAACCAGAGCCAGCGAATGCCAAACAGAGCAAGTTTTGTTTCCCTGAAAGAAAGCACTGTGTACATGTAAAGACTTGTTATTTCCATGGGGTGGGGGGGCAATTATACCCTAGAAATGTGACAGAGAGGAGACTCTCTTTGCCCGAGAAGTGGTGACCAAACCAACAATTGAGTAATTGGTAAGTAAATTCTGGTACAACCAGGTGATGGACTTTCCTGCAGTCTTAACAAAACATTTCAAATAAATTCTTTAGTATCCTGAAAAGTGTTACCTATAAGGGTCAGTCATCTTGTTTCTTAAAAAAAGAAAAGATATCCACTCTGTAAACAGAATCATCTTAGTTCTATTAAAAACAATTATACAGTGGCAGCGCCCGTAGCTCAGTGGGCAGGGTGCCAGCCACATACACCCAGGCTGGCAGGTTCAAACCCGGCCTGGGCCAGCCTAAACAACGACAACTGCAACAAAAAAATATAGCCGGGCATTGTGGTGGGCGCCTGTAGTTCCAGCTACTCGGGAGGCTGAGGCAAGAAAATTGCTTAAGCCCAAGAGTTTGAGGTTGCTGTGAGCTGTGACGCCACGGACTCTACCAAGGGCAATGTAATGAGACTCTGTCTCAAAACAAACAAACAAAAAACAATTATGCACAGTGTAATCCTAGCACTTTGGGAGGCCAGGGCAGGTGGATTGCTCCAGACCAAGAGTTGGAGACCCTGTCTCTACTGAAGAGACACCTGTAGTCTCAGCTACTTGGGAGGCTGAGGCAAGAGGATCACTGAATCCAAGAGTTTGAGATTGCTGTGAGCTGCGATGATGCCACAGCATTCTACCCAGAATGACAAGTGAGACTCTATCTAAAAAAATAAAAATAATTATGCATATAAAAAAGAGTGAAAATGTACTAGAATGTTAACGGGGATATTCTCTGGTAGGATTTTGAGTTTTAAATATATTTTCCAAATTTTCTACAATCCACACACTTATATAATCAGAGAAAAAAATTATGGGGGAAGGATGACAGAAATAAAATATACAAAGAGGTCAATAATAGATGAATATTTTGTATAGTCTAGCTTTTTGAGATAATATAAAAAACATTATAAGATAGAAAAACATAATTGATGTTGGGGAAATCAGTTACATATTTAAAGTATGGGAATGCGTTAGATATTTGTTCTAAAGTTCTTCAGGCCCTAAGATAGCTTCTAACTCTTGCTAAGCCTGTGTGTGCGTATTAAGTACTCAATAAACTTGATAATGCCTCATTCGTAGAGTTACTTAGCTATGTAATGCTTTCTTTCCTCATATACAAGCAAAATATCTATTAAAAATAGTTGATGGTGTACTTTGGATTGTTTAAAAATAGTTTCATTAAAAAGCAAATGCTACCTATCAGGAAGATGTTAGATTTGTATAGTTTTGTAATAAATTGACTTGTGCATCCCACTTTTTAAAACTAGGTCAATAACTTTATCTCCCTGCTTTTTTTCCTCCTAGCCCTGCCAAGCCCAAGCATGTGGAACTAAATCTTAAACCCCCTAAGAATCTTGACGGTTTGGGAAATGAGCATAATCCATTTAGCCAGCCAGTTCATAAGGGAAACACTGCCACGAAAATCTCCTTATTTGAAAACAAACGGGCAAATAGTAGCCCAAGACACGCCGACCTTCGAGTCACAAGGAACGCTCCTGCTTCTAATAAAACGTATGTAGGGAGGGCGAAACTGAGCTTAGCTAAAAAAGCCAAAGAAATGGAGCAACCGGAAAAGAAAGTGATAGCAAGCAGCCACCAGAACAGCGTGCTGGTGAAGGAAACCTCTGCAGAAGGCAAAGCGCCTACCCCCGAAGAAGGGACTGTGCCAGCGGCCCGAGGAACGCAGGGCGGGCCGACTGCAGAGCGAGCTCTTGGTTCTCAGCCTCACCAAGGTGCTGCTGCAGATGTGCAAACAGATGCCGGCTGCCCTTCAGAACCAGCGGCCACTGCTCTGATGCCTGGGAAGGACCCTCAGCTCTTAAAAGAGGACAACTCAAAGACTGCTGCCAGCGAAAGCTGTGTACTTGAAAATATGACTGATACAGCACGGGACATCCCAGCACAGGACATCCCCGCTGTTGTTGATACCAAAGATGCGCCTCCTGCAACCTCACCACAGGGTCAACTTCCTGACTCCCAGCCCCCAGCCGAGCTGCCTAACGGGCCTTCTCTGTCACTGTCAGCACCCCTTCCCCTGGACGCTTCCCAAAACGCACGTGTTCCCTCTCCCGTAAACGGTTTTCCATGCACCGATCTGAAAGTGTCAGAAAACCATCAAGGATGTATTTTGCCTCAGGATAAGGAAAACACGCCACTCTCCCAACCGGGAGGGGAAATAAGCCCTCCTTTGTCGGCAGAGCCTGGCCCGGAGACTGTGGGAAACGAGGGTCCGTCCAAGGTCCTGGTCCAGGTCAGGTCCTTCGTGCTCCCTGTGGAAAGCACCCAGGACGTCAGCGCCCACCTCATCTCAGAGAGCTCTGAAGTTAGAGAAGTGCAGTTGCCAAGTTGTCACAATAATGAACTTGAGGTGGTTTCCGTTGCAAGTTGTGCTCCCCAGCAAGAGGAAGTAGTGGGCAACAGGAGCGGGCCACCCAAACATACTCATTGCAAAGAGGAACGTGTGGCACAATCTGCCCCAGAAGTCACACCTTCAGACTCAGAGAGAATGCTACCTCTTCAGGCTCAGAGTCAGGACCACAAAACGCCCCTGACAACCGAATCCAGTCCTACCGACTCCCCCCACGATGGAAATCACTTACACACTCCTCAAAGGCCAGCTGGAAGTGTTGTGAATGGCCAGAGCAGCCCTGCCAGTCTTTTGAACAACTCTGCGAATAGTGACGACAGTGTGCTTGATTCTTCTTCTGATATGGAAAAATTCACCGAAATTATAAAGAAGATGGATAGTGCTGTTTGTGTGCCCCTGAAGAAAAAGAAGGCCAGGGTGCCCAACTCTCCCGCCCCTCACTTTGCCATGCCTCCAATTCACGAAGACAATTTAGAAAAGGTGTTTGATCCCAATGTGTTTACCTTTGGGTTGGGGAAAAAGGAAAACCAAACAGAAATGTCACCAGCTTTACATCTGATGCAGAACCTTGACACAAAATCCAAACTGAGACCCAAACGGGCCTCCACTGAGCAGAGCATGCTCTTCAAGTCCTTGCACACGAACACTAATGGGAAAGACGAAACTGTGGTGACTCCAGTACCAAATGACAAAGAGAACAGGGACGTCACCAACGGGGGAGTTAAGAGATCCAGGCTAGAAAAAAGCACCCTTTTTTCAAGCTTATTATCTTCTCTACCACAAGACAAAATCTTTGCTCCCTCTGTGACATCAGTCAATACTATGACCACAACTTTCAGCACTTCTCAGAACAGTTCCCTATCTCAGCCCGTGACTGAGGGAGCCCCGCCCTGTGGTTCAAACAAAGAACAGCCAAATCTTCCACCCAGCAGCTCCTTAAAGGTCTTCAATTTCGACTCGTCAAGTACATCTCATTCAGGTTTGAAAAGTCCCAGCCACGTGGACAAATACGTACAAAAAGAGGAAATCAAGGAAGATCTAGATTCACGGAGCAACCTACACCTGCCAGAAACTACATTTTCTGAATTTTCAAAACTGAAGAACAACGAAAATATGGAAAAGGCTAATCATATAGAAAGTGTTTTTAAATCAAGCCTGCCAAACTATGGAAACAGTGACACCGACTTCGTGGGTCTTTTCAAATCAAGCCGGTATGACCCGAGCATTTCTTTTTCTGGAATGTCATTATCAGATACAACGGTAAGTAACAGCATGTTATAGTTGGGGTATTTGTAAAACATGGGGGGAGAGGGATGATGAACAACTCCTGTTACTCATTTAGAAATGGTTATACTTCTGTACAGTAATTTTCTGTTCACATATTTGAAAACCTGCTGTGTCTGTTAGGGTCTGAGAAAAAGGTATTAAGATTCTTCTCTCAAGCCATTTGTAGTCTAGCAGGGAGATTAAGCTACAGATATTTTAAGGCCCATGTGAATTTGTACTTTGCATTACAAAAGATATAGATAAGGTGATTTGAGAGTTCAGAGACTGACAAGATACTTCTTACCTATTCTGTATAAAAATGTTCAATACTATACTTAGAATTTTGAAGATTTATGAAGCAACTTCCTCTATTTGGAAAGGCCCCAGCCAAAGAGACTTTCCTAGTCCCTTTTCTCACTCTGTGAGATTCTAAGTAGCAAGTACATGTTTGTCCCATGCAATTGAGTATTTTCTCTTTTGGGGGAAATAATTTTAAACAGAGAAATAGCTTTGTTTTCTTTTGTTTTGAGACAGAGTCTCACTTTGAGACCCTGGGTAGAGGGCCATGGAGTCATAGCTCACTGCAACCTCAAACTCCTGGGTTTAAATGATTCTCTTGCCTCATCCTCCCAAGTAGCTGGGACTACAGGTGTCTACCACAGCACGTGGCTATTTTTAGAGATAGGGTCTTACTCTAGCTCAGGCTGGTCTTGAACTCCTGAGTTCAAGCAATCCACCTGTCTTGGTCTCCCAGAGTCCTAGGATTACAGGTATGAGCCACCGCACCCAGCCAGAGAAATAATTTTATTTCTGCCAAGTTGTGAGGAGTAAGGAATTTTGGTTTACATTCAATCTTTCCTTTAATGACAAGAAAATATGACTTTGAAGAATAAGTTTGGTTTTTGCATGTTCTCTTACTTGACTGCCAGAAGTAGTTTTTTTAACTCAGTTTTTGGTGTGAGACTTTTTGTTACCAAGTTTAATACTCACGTTGGAGGATAGTGAAAGAGGAAGGCAGATACAGAGTTCCGAGGTTGGCTCTGCCAGGCTGGACACCTGAGTGGAGCACCAGCCCATCTGGCCCGTGCAGACCATGGTCTAGCAGTTTACTTTTAAACGAAATGAAAATACTTTGCACCCTTCCTCATGTATACCGGGGACTGCAGCATGTTTCAATGTGCTGATGGGCCTTTGTTACAATCCTATCATAGAAGGTGGTTTTGGAAGCTCTTTTTAAATTACATAGTTGGTTTCCAGCAGAGGCGCAGATACCCTTTTTCACATGATTTTGTATACCCCAGTGGGCTTCAAAGCTTTTGGTCTTAGGTCCCTTTTACATTTTAAAATTATTGAGAGGCTCGACACCTGTGACTCAAGTGGCTAAGGCATCAGACACATACACCTGAGCTGGCGGGTTCAAATCCAGCCTGGGCCTGCCAAAGAACAATGACGGCTGCAACCAAAAAATAGCCGGGTGTGTGGCGAGCGCCTGTGGTCCCAGCTACTTGGGAGGCTGAGGCAAGAGGATCGCTTGAGCCCAGGAGTTGGAGGTTGCTGTGAACTATGATGCCACTCTACCCAGGGTGACAGGTTGAGACTCTATCTCAAAAAATAAAATAAAATTTTAAGAATGCCAAAGAGCTTCTGTTTAAATGGGATATGCTTATAAGAATTTCCTATATTAGAAATTGAGAAAATTTTAATGCAGCAGAACACACAAGTGTACATTCCATAAGCCATCAGAGCAACGATGTCATCGCATGTGACATCGACGGAGCCTTGTACATCACTGGACACTTGTGAGGAGAGAAGATGGGAAAAGCAGATTACCTCCCCTTCTTAAAAAATAGTTTTGACCCTCCTAATGGACTCCCTGAAAGTATCCTGGGGAACTCCCAGGGACCTCAGGAGCATGTTTTTGGCCTTTGGAGAAAATCATTGCTGTGGGGCCAGGCGCCTATAATCCTAGCACTCTGGGAGGCCAAGGCAGGTGGATTGCTTGAGCTCAGGAGTTTGAGACCAGTCTGAGCAAGAGGGTGACCCTGTCTCTAAAAATAGCCAGGGGTTGTGGCAGGCGCCTATAGTCCCAGCTACTTGGGAGATTGAGGCAGGAGGACTGCTTAAGCCCAAGAATTTGAGGTTGGTGTGACCTATGATACCACGGCACTTTACCAAGGGTGACATAATGAGACTCTGTCTTAAAAAAAAAAAAAATGGAAAAAACCACTGCTGTAAACAAATAAGACTGAATCAGCCTATAGAACTCAGAAATCATGAAATTCTTAAGTATATCAAGCACAAAATTTCCTCTAGCCTACTTCCATTTATTATGGCTTTGTTCTTTTTAATTGTTCTTAGTCACTTCTCTCATTTGACTACAGCCTGACAGAGCCTGACAACAGAATATACAGAGTCTCCCTGTGAAAACCAAGTCAAACGGTGTAAAAAGGAGAACTGAATACAATTTTTCAAGGCCTTTTATGATTTAAAACATTTGTTTCTTTTGATTCTGGGATTTGTTGAATTTCGTTTTAAATTTTAGACGTTTTCTTTAGCTTACCTGTTTCTCATGTGTATGTATGAATAAATGAGTGCAGGCCATTTTGGTTTCTAATAATGCTCTAGTGGAACGTTATGGGCTTGTGAGTCTATTACACTGTGGTGTGATGCAAGACGGATCAGATCAAAGGCAGTTCTTAAAATAGGCACACCTGGTCAGCACTGAAAGTAGTCCCTGTTTTGTAATGTTTTTACACATATAATTATTATTTTTATTATGCATTTCTAGTTTTACTGGTCTTGTCAGATGGTCTTGAAAATGATTAATTTTTGGAGCCACATAAAAATGTTTTGTCCATCCAAAAAGGAGGATTAAGTATACCATGTGAAATGTACATCATGAAATATACCCTAAACACTTTTATTTAGACCAGTAGTTATATGACAATAGACGTTACTATGAAAAAAACATAGATTCAGGTAGGGTGTGTAAATGAATACATAAAACTGATTCTACTCTTTCTAGATAAGTAATACATTCTATTTTATATTTTTAAATTTTTTTTTCTTTATTACAAACCAATATGAGGGTACAAAGTTTTAGATTATATAGCTCTCACTTCCAGGGTCAAGTTCCAGTTAGTAATATATTCTAACTTCTCTTTATCTGAGATTATACTGAGATTATTTGAATCATGATCTCTTAGATGGGTTTTTAGTATGTGAACTGACATAAAACATAGGTCTGACTTTTGGACCCTGAGTTTCCTAGCATTGGTGGAAATAGATGTTTAAATGAGGAGAAATTGAAAGGCAAATTCAGTCAGAGGAGAAGAAAGCTCTTAATTTAAAAGTATAAACTCAAAGAGTTTTAACAACTTTAGGGTAGATTAAAGTGGACATGTTTCAAAATTAGTAAATTGTGAAGTTCAATATGATCTAGCTACAGGGTCACAGTGGAGAAGAGATGGTGATGGAAAGATATAATTATTTGTTGTGTTCTTGTTCATCTGATTACAGACCTTTAGAGGAAGTGTACAAAATAAACTCAATCCCCGACCTGGGAAGGTAAGGTGATTTTCTATTTCTGGTCTGTTTTATTTCGGTCTGCTGGAGTACGACAAAGTGTGCTTATCCCTTTCATTTTCTTGTAGGTAGTGATATATAGTGAACCCGACGTCTCTGACAAGTGCATTGAAGTTTTCAGTGATATTCAGGATTGCAGTTCGTGGGGCCTCTCTCCACTGATACTCGTGAAAGTTGTAAGAGGATGGTAAGAATGGTACTGTAAGCTCCTGACTTACAGTGTTTGCGTTTTACATTCTTAATTACCTATTTGGTCCTTACTAATTTAAAATGATTGCTTTTAGCAATGGTAAGTGCAGAAAATACTACTTATAGTAGAATAAGGAATTCATATTAAAAAATATGGCTTTAAATCACATTTCTGATTGTAGGAGTTATATATGTTTGTGGGAGAAAAATTAGGAAAGTACAGGAGAGTAAGCTGTGACCTTGCCTTGGACTAGTCATACATCTAGGTCTGTAATACGTACTTTTGGTTGATGGGTTTTAAATGAGAGGTTGATAAGAATTGCATTAGCCGTGTTGATAGGCCTGTGATTTTTTAAAAAAATTCTATAAGGAAAGACATTTTTAATGAAACTTCAGTGAAAGACTAACCTAAAATTTAATTTACTTTCCAATTTTTCAACAAAAGATAGTTGTGAAAAAGAAACTAGTGAAAATGAGCTAGAGTATTATTAGAAACCAAAATGGCTTGTACTCAGTTTCTAAAATTGTTTACCAGATTAATTTCCTTTTTAATTCTTGAAAATACACAGGAAGTTAAAGAAAGGGCAACTTAACAAGAACTAACTGATCTAGCGTAATACTTATCTTTGGCATCTGTTTATAACCTTCTTTGAAGTAAAGATGGTAGAGTTCTAATCATTTATGGTTTAAAAAAATGAATAAGTTTTTCTTTTGGTTTCCATCTGAATAAATATGCAGCAACTTGCCTATAAGATTTTTAGATATTTTATTTTTTATTTTATTTATTTATGTATTTATTTATTTGAGATACTTGGTACAGTGCTGTGGTATCACAGCTGACAGCAACCTCAAACTCTTAGGTTCAAGCCATCCCCTTGCTTCAGCCTCCTGTGTAGCTGGAACTATAGTCGCCTGCCACAACACCTGGCTATTTTTAGAGACGAGGTCTCGCTCCGGCTCAGGCTGGTCTGGAACTCATGAGCTCAGGCAATCCACTTTTTGGCTGGGCCAGGTTTGAACCCGCCACTCCCATATATGGAACCGGTGCCCTACTCCTTTGAGCCACAGGCGCCGGCTGATTTTTAGATATTTTAATATATTTTTTTCTGCATGTTCAACATAGTCGTTAGAAAAACAGAGTTTATTTTGATTCTATAATTTGAAGATTGAGAATTGCAAACAAGTTTTGTGTAGCAGTTTTAATAGAACAGTGCTTTTTCCATGTTTTGCAATTTTTGTTGGCTTTTTCTTGAAAGCCTACACACTTACACTATCATACATTGGCAGCCTTCAGCCCTTAGTGGGAAGAATATTTTTAAAATGCTTTCCAGTGTCATGCTTATAGTTCTTTGAATCAACATATTCATTGATATGGCTGTGATATGTAAGGGAAAATCCCTCGAAAAGAAATGTTTTCTATACACATAAGGAGAACAAAAACTCTACTACAGTAAAACGCTCATTTATAAACGACATATTATAATTTCCACTAACTGGCAATTCTTTAGGTCATTAGTAGCTTTATAATATTCATATTGACAACCCAACGGTTCTTGAAGATCCTGATTATAGTTCTTGAATTATCAGACGCTTAATTATACCCAGTAAGTTTTAGTGTTAGGGAGATCATGTGCTATTGTAATTGCTGGAGAATTGTCACTAATATATATATATAGTGACTAATATATAATTGCCACTATATATATATAGTATAGTATGTGTGTATATATATAGTGGCAATTAGCCAGAATGTTCATGTTTGAGTAATCAAAACTTTTCTCCCCAAGAGTGGCTAATGATTTTGCTGTGCTTCCTTCTTTAGTTGGATTTTGTATGAGAAGCCAAATTTTGAAGGGCACTCTATCCCCTTAGAAGAAGGGGAACTGGAACTCTCCGGTCTCTGGGCTGTGGAAGAAGTTTTGGAAAGGAATGAGGAAGCAGAGTCTGATCGGCCTGTGATGATTGGTTCAATCAGACTTATGGTCCAGGTAGGTGGTGTTAAGTCTGGATTTCACTTATTCATTCAGGAAATACTTGATTCTTATCTTAAGGGAAAGTTCATTTTATGAAATGAGTTGGAAAAATTTGGGGTGCTTTATGGATGTATTTTCTATAATTTAAGTATTTTTGTGCACTTTAAAGAAGTAGAAAATAAACCTTGTAATTGGTTAGGTGTTTTTCACAGTAAATCCTTAAGTCTCTCATTCCAAATGTATTTTACTTAGTAACCTGGGGTGGATGAGTTCTGTATGAACAGGTTTTTCTTTAAGTCTTTTTGGTTAGTGCATGAGTTCTTTGAGTGGTTTATAGGCATTCTATTTTGGAAAAATAAATAATCCGGAAATAATGTAGTTGTTCAAATGTGGGGTTTCCTGTGAGTTTAAAAAATATTATTTGATATATTTGAGGCCACTTCATGGATTGGGTAAAATTTCTTGGTTTCTTGTTCATTGATGAGGAAGAAGGTGTTATCAGAATCTTTCTTTGTGGCTCTTGGGATTTGATGATTTGAGATTTATATTTTAAAAATGTAATTACTGATGCCTTCCAAGTAGAAAATGAAAATTTCAAGTTTTGTAGAGATGAGTGTCAAAGTGCAATAAGGAGAAAAGGCAGGTTCTCCAATGAGTAAGAATGAGTCACAGTTTTTGGCAGAGGAAAGCGCTCCCCATTTCCTAGGTCAACATTTCTGAGTGACTTAGATGATAATTGGTGTTCTAAATGACTTATCTTCTAATAGCTTTAAGTACATAATGTGATAAGCCGAAGTAAGACAGGAGGAGCCTTACTGCAAAATGTCCTCATTAGTGGAATATTTTACCCAGAGTTTTCATTTTTTTGCTCAAATAATATTGGTAATAAATCAGTGTTTAAAAATGTTGTTTGAATCTCATTGTCCTGAAGTGCCCTCTCTTCTTTTTTTGAATCCTCAATCCTTTTTTTGGCCATATTCTAATGTGCTTGTTCTGTGGTTTTAATAATAATATAGATATAATGCTCTACTTTTTTTTAATTTAACACTGTGGTTCCAAATCCTCTTTTCCTCTCTGTACTATTCTCCTGAAGATCATAGTCTGTTGGTAAGACCTCTTTGACTGCTTTTAAGTAATGTACGTTTTGAGTTATATCACTTGGTACCCCGTAAGGGCTTTGAAATTCTCAAGGTGATTAATTTGGAAGAATTAGGATTAGGATCAAGATTTGAAAGTAAGATTAGGATTTGCACTGGGGGGGAGATATCAGACTTAAGTGTAGTAAGGATGTTGGGGGACATTTAGAAAGGGGGGTAGGGAAATACTCTCTCTTATTTCACCTGCAGACTTAATACAGCAAATGCATTTTCATGTTACTAGTTTGGGGTTTAGCTAACCCTCATATTCTGTAAAATGACATGTTACTTAGTACATAAATCAGAGACCATCATTGATTTATTATTTCTTCTTTTAGTCAGTCTGAAGTTTGTTTCTAGTTTTCTACATCATTTTAAATAATGCTGTGTGAACATTTTTGTGTTCACATTTTAATAATTTATTATTTTATGATTTGTTTCCTTGGATTAAATTTTTCTGAATAATGTCCTGTTAAAGGGTATGGTTTATGGCTTCTGATACGTCAGAAATTATATTTTCTTTACCCATTGCATGGTTTCTTGAAAGATGAAACGTAAGTCACAATGTATATTCAAGAGGGTCACCTTTTCAATTCATTAGAGTTGCTCCTTTTGGTAATGTGTGAAGGAGCCTCACCTGAGCTGACCCAAGTGTTAATATTTCTTCTGTACCTCAGTTCACCTGGCTCAGCAACAGAGAAGAGGTTCAGTAAATAGTCAATTAATGCTGAGGCACTCAGCCAGGAGGGGCCTTTTGAAGAGTGTTTGATGGGCCGTGGATATGTAGGGCATGGAACAGTGATCCAAGTATGGAGATTTGTAAGTCACTGTGAATGTGGGTTTTTCCCTTTATGACTTAGCCCAAATCATCATGGTAGAGAAATGGTGACTCATAGTCGGGGAGAGTTACAGCAGAGAGCTCATGGGCACAAAATGATAGTTGAGGGAGACTACAGGTGCAGCCGTGCTGCAGACTAATCTGCATGTGGATAATTATAGCAGAGCAAGGGAACCAAAACCCCCAAAGCCAAGGGAGAAGGTGATAAATTTGTTCCACACCTCTAGTAAAATATATTTTCTTTGCTTTGAGTGTTATCACTGAGATTATCGGACTAAAGCAGTGCCTGCTCCGAAAGAGGCATATTATTAATTCATGGATGAAAACAGGAAAGGATTCAATGGCAGGGATACAATGGGAAATGTATGCTTCAGGCTTCTTTTAAATAGTTGCAAGGAAGAATAATGAGCTCACCATAGGGTTGGATATGTGGTAAAATCATTATTACACGTACACATGTATATGTATGTTATTTCAGGATTATAGAATTAGTCAAATCGACTTATTCACTGAACCAGACGGGTTAGGACTCCTCAGTTCCTACTTTGATGATATTGAAGAAGTGCAGGGATTTGGTGTCATGCAGAAGACTTGTTCCATTAAAGTCCATCAGGGCACGTAAGTATTTCATTTTAAATACAATTTGAATGAAGCTTTTTTTGTGAGTATAGTACTGGAAAGAGAGGACTTAAGATGTTTCGCCTCTGATTTATTGTCCTGTTAAATAATCACTGACTGTAAGGTAGATTTATAAGGCACATAAAATGTTTATGCAATCACACATATGTTGCTCTGACACACCTCTTTACAAATAATCATGATTTGTTAGAGGAAGCATAGGAGAAAAATCACATTTTCAGTGTACAGCCTTCCTTATCAGAGAGGAATCTGATTCACTCAGAGCTAAGTAACAGATTATACCTTCACGGTAACTCAGAGGAGGTGATTCAGAGCATGTGCCCTGATCCTTCAGGTGGGACGGAAGCCAACACAGGTGGTGCTTCCTTTACCATTTTCACACAATGCTGTCCAAAGCCCCTGGGATGTTGGTTCCACAAATCACAGGAAACAGCAAGAATAATCTAAAGGAAACGGGAATATCTCAGATAGGGGAGAAATCAGGATAGAAAGTACAGACTGCAGGACCCAAAAATGTGGCCTCTGATGTGGGGCATACAGCCCAGGGCACAGGAAGGACAGACGCCGAGATGTAGGACAAAAGAAATAAATGCAACAGGTGGTGCCTGTGGCTCAAGGAGTAGGGCGTCAGCCCCATATGCTGGAGGTGGTGGGTTCAAACCCAGCCTCGGCCAAAAACTGCATAAAAAAAAATAATAAGTACAGCACTGAAACGTTTTTATATTTTATTTAGACTCTTCGTGGCTTAAGACTTTTGTGTACTTTTCTAATACGCATAGTATTTTAATGCAGTGGTCATGTATGTAATTTATATTCATGTATTCAGAGAGCGTGCAACTGTTTTTACTAATGGACTAATGTAGTTTATAAAAAATTTGTAGCCTCCATAAAGGGATATAGGCTATCTCTGGAATTGTCTCAGTGCCCACAGCTCAGCAGCTAGGATGCTGGTCACATTCACTGGGGCTGGCGGGTTCAAATCCAGCCGGGGCCCGCCAAACAACAATAACCACTACAACAAAAAAATAGATGTCTATGTGTTGTGGCAGGCGCCTGTAGTCCCTGCTACTCGGGAGGCTGAGGCAAGAGAATAGCTTAAGCCCAAGAGTTGGAGGTTGCTGTGAGCTGTGATGCCAACAGCACTCTACCAAGGGTGACATAGTGAGACTCTGTCTCAAAAAAAAAAAGAATTATCTCTGGAATGGATGAGAAAGCACTTTTTTTTGGCTGGGGCTGGGCTTGAACCTGCCACCCTGGGCATATGGGGCCAGCACCCTACTCCTTGAGCCACAGGCACCACCCAGATAAGGCATTTCTTACGCCTGTTGTTTGCATTCTATTGACTGCCAAAAGTCTTGGTTTGCTGTTGTTCATATCTTTGAAATGGTTCGTGCAAAAGGTAGAAATTGGGTAAATTTGGTATCATAGAGTATGATTTTTTGATCCTCAAAAGTCAGGAACTAAAAACCTCTAGGCAACTTACTAGGGAGTGGGGCTGCTGAGATTCGGCCTGAGGGGTAGCAGCCATCCTGGAGTAGTGGAGTGTGGTCACAGTCAGCTCCCAAGTAGTTCTGTGGGAGAGAAAGTAGATGTGCTCTCTGTTCTTTCATAGGAGGTGCCAGAAAAAAACAGTAGAAATTAGAGGTGGATTTTTCACTTGACCTCAGGAAGAATTTTCTAGTAGTTGTAGAGCAGTGAAAATGGAAGTGGGCTGCTCTGTCAGGTGGAGGGCTTCTCACCGCAGCATGGGCAGCAGTAGAGGACAGATGCGGGTTCATCTAGGCTGTCCGGGGGGATGCAGAGTGTGAGTTACATGCCTCTTTATGACTGTGGGTTCCCTGAGTTATTTGCCTTTAACATTTTGGAATATAACATACTGAGGAAAAGGTTCACAGAAAGTAAATGTACACTATATATTTTTATTTTTATTATTATTATTTTTTTGAGACAGAGTCTCAAGCTGTCGCCCTGGGTAGAGTGAGGTGGCGTCATAGCTCACAGCAACCTCAAACTCTTGGGCTTAAGCAATTCTCTTGCCTCAGCCTCCCAAGTAGCTGGGACTACAGGCGCCCACCACAATGCCCGGCTATTTTTGTTGTTGTTGCAGCAGTTGTCATTGTTCTTTTTTAGCTGGCCCAGACTGGGTTCGAAACTGCCACCCTCGGTGTATGTGGCTGATGCCCCACCCACTGAGCTATGGGCACCACCTAAATATACACTTTAACAAATAATGAAGTGAGCACCCAAGTCAGAACTAAGACACTCCCAGCACCCTAAACCTCCCCCCCCAAACTCCTTTCCTTTGCCAGTTTCCTCTTTTGGAAAGCAACCTCCCTCTCAGATGACTGAGATAATAACAATAAACTATTTTAAATTGCACATGAACTTTATGGCCACCCTATATTTATTAGGGCAGGTTTTAGGGTATTAAGAGTAACGCTAATTTAAATATCTACTTGAAATGCAAAATTATTTTCTAAGGGCAATGTACATTTTATTGCTTTTGAAAAAAAATTTTAAATGGCACATAATAATTATATGTATTTATGGGGTACAGTATGATGTTTTGACGTGATCAAATCAGGGTAATTAGCAAATCCATTACCTCAAACCTTGTTTCTTTGCAGTGAGAACCTTCAGAATCTTTCTAGCTATTGTAAAATGTAGATCATGATTAACTGTAGTCAGGCTACTGTGCAATTGGCCACCAGAACTCATTCCTGCTAACTGTGACTTTGTTGCCATTGACCATCCTCTCCCCAGCCCTGTCTGCATTCTCTGCTCTCTGGCAACCTCTCTTCTGTCCTCTATGAGATTAACGTTGTTAGCTCCCCCGTGTGAGTGAGGACGTGCGTTATTTGCCTTTCCATCCCTAGCTCATTTCACGTAACATAACTTCTTCCACGTTCATCCATGTTGTCACAAATGATTTCATAAAAAGGATTTTATACTTTTTATGGCTGAATAATACTCCATTGTGTATATAAGCCACTTTTTTTTTTGTTTTGGTAACTGGTATCAGTATACCTCGTTTTCTTTTCCGTTCCTCTGTTGTTGGAAACCTAGATTGATCTCATACCCTGGCTATTGGGACAGTGCTGAAGTAATCGTGGGAGTCCAGATACCCCTTTGACATACTGATTTCATTTCTTTAGGTCATATGCCCAGTAGTGGGATTGCTGGATCGTATAAGTAGTTGTATTTAATTTTTGGGGAAATGTCCCCACTGTTTTCTGTAACAGCTGTTCTAGTTGACATTTTTACCAACAGTGTGTAAAGGTTCGGTTCTCTTTTCTCCACATCCTCACCAATACTTATTTTTTTTTTGTCTTTCTGTTAATAGCTATTCTAACTGGAATAAGGTAAGGTATCTCATGGTGTTTTGATTTGCATTGCCCTGATGATTAGCGATATTGAACGTTTTTTCATATACCTGTTGGCCATTTGCATGCCTTCTTTTGAAAAATTTACTGCTTTTAAGTAGTTTACATTTTGAGTTATATCATTGGTATTCCATAGACCTTAAAGGGCTATGAACTTTCTCAGGGTGATTAATTTGGAAGTGAGAATTAGGAAAGGCTTCTTCTCTGTATACCCTCTCTAAATATGGTAAGAAATTGGGACTTTAACAAATATAAACCTAAAACAGTGACTATGAGATGTATCCATTTCAATAAATCAGTGAATTAATTGGGCATATGCTATGTGCTACATGCTGTTCTAGGCACTAGGAGTATGGCAGTGTGTGCATAAATGATGTCCCTGTTCTCACAGAATAGGCAGAGCAAAGACATCTGCAATGTGCCAGATGGTAAAGGCTATAAGAAACATAAATTACAGAGAGGGGAAGGAGCAATGCTATTCGGATAGGATGGTGACTAAAGGTCTCTGATGACATTTAATAGGGACCTGAGGAAGTGAGAGTCTGCTCTGGAGCTACCTGGGGGAGCAGGGGCAGGGCAGTGACCCAGGGCAGGAAGCACAGCATTTGCAGAAGCCCTGCCAGGCATGTTGGGGCAACAGCTGGGAGGCTGAGGCAGGTGCAGCAGCTGAGCGAGGAGGCTGGATGGGAGGAGGCCTCACATGGAGGCTGGATGAAAGGAGGCCTCACATGGAGGCTGGATGGGAGGAGGCCTCACATGGAGGCTGGAAGGGAGGAGGCCTCACATGGAGGCTGGAAGGGAGGAGGCCTCACTTGGAGGCTGGAAGGGAGGAGGCCTCAC